TGAGGACAAAGGAGTTCACCTGCTTTAATGTAGTGACTGTGACCTTTGTAGGCGTGAAACCATGAGGACTCAGGACAGTACTGCTGTGAGCTACACAGCCCAGCATTTTGCTGAACTTCCCAGCTCATGCAGAACTATAATCCTTCATTGGTAAGTTCTACCTGACTAGGCTGGCTTAAAGTTAGCTTGGGTACAGCCATCTGAGCTACCATCACTATGCTGTAGACATCCTCATAAAAAGACTGCCTGCTCTCTCCACCCTCTGCTCTCTCTGTCTCTGTCTCTCCCTCTGAAGTCTACTGAAGGCATTAAAAAGTCCAAGATTGTCCCTTTTTCTACTTTCTTGTCATGACACTCTGCCTGCCTTTCTACTTCCAGAGGAGCAAATCTTCCAGTGACAGTCACTGCAGAAACTTCACAATTAATGAGGCAGGCTGGTGATAAGTGGGTTTTTCCTCTCCAACTCATTATCATGGTGCAGTACCCTTCTACCAATTGACTCCTCAGGTGTCCGCAACCTCTCTCATATCCTCACTTTCTGCATATTCTTCTCTCAGTTTTCCTGACTCCAGTCCCTCTGTTCTCATTTCTGACAGCTCCAGACCTATTCTTCTGCTCTTCTGGACACTCACTTTTATTTTGCATCTAATGTAGTTATATCTTGGGCTCAGTCAGCCTGGGTTTATGAAAGACAGCTCCTGCTTGACTAACCTGATCTTCTCCTATGACAAGGTGACCCTCTTAGTGGATGATGGAAAGGCTGTGTCTCTTGTGTAGTGGACTTTAGTAAAGCCTTTGATACCATTTCCCACAGCATTCTGCTGGAGAAACTGGCTGCTCATGGCTTGGACAGGCATATACTTCACTGGGTAAAAAACTGGCTGGATGGCTGAGCCCAAAGAGTTGTGGTGAATGTTGATGGTGGGTCACAAATGGTGTTCCCCAGGGCTCAGTATTGGGACCAGTTCTGTTTAATATCTTTATCAATGATCTGGATGAGGGGATCGAGTGCACCCTCAGTAAGTTTGCAGATGACACCAAGTTGGGCAGTAGTGTTGATCTGCTTGAGGGTAGGAAGGCTCTACAGAGGGATCTGGACAGGCTGGATGGATGGGCCGAGGCCAATTGTATGAGGTTCAACAAGGCTCAGTGCCAGGTCCTGCACATGCATCACAGCAACCCCATGCAGCGCTACAGGCTTGGGGAAGAGTGGCTGGAAAGCTGCCTGGCAGAAAAGGACCTGGGGGTGCTGGTTGGCAGCCGGCTGAATATGAGCCAGCAGTGTGCCCAGGTGGCCAAGAAGGCCAATGGCATCCTGGCCTGTATCAGAAATAGTGTGGCCAGCAGGACCAGGGAAGAGATCATCCCCCTGTACTTGGCACTGGTGAGGCTGCACCTCTAATACTGTGTTCAGTTTTGGGCCCCTCACTACAAGAAAGACATTGAGGTGCTGGAGCATGTCCAAAGAAGGGCAACGAAGCTGGTGAAGGGTCTAGAGCACAAGTCTTATGAGGAGCGGCTGAGGGAACTGGGGTTATTTAGCCTGGAGAAAAGGAGGCTGACGGGAGATCTTACCGCTCTCTACAACTACCTCAAAGGAGGTTGTAGTGAGGTGGGTACTGGTCTCTTCTCCCAAGTAATAAGTGATAGGACAAGAGGGAATGGCCTCAAGTTGCACCAGGGGATGTTTAGATTGGATATGAGGAAAAATTTCTTCACAGACAGGGTTGTCAAGCATTGGAACAGGCTGCCCAGGGAAGCGGTTGAGTCACCATCCCTGGAGGTATTTAAAAGATGTGTAGATGTGGCACTTAGGGACATGGTTTAGCAGTGGACTTGGCACTGTTAGGTTTACAGCTGGACTCAGTGGCCTTAAGGGTCTTTTCCAACATAAATTATTCTCTGATTCTATGATTCTATTTTCCTAAGGTCTGGTACCTCTGGTCTAAATTTTTGAAACACAGCTTTTGACATTTAGTAGCAACCGGAAGTGTAACTTTTCGTGCCAGAGGTAGAAGCACTATTTTCAGAGACCAGTTTGGACCTCAGCTTCTTACTGAGTTGACAATACCAGACTCCCAAAGGATGAGGTTTTGACTATACACTGCAAAAATCTGATCAGGGCAATGATCAGCTTCAGGGAATGGCTGAAATCTAGGAAAGAAGATTTTATTTTACTGCTAACCTTAAACATACTCTGAAAATTAGGATAGAGGGGTTTTAGTAGCATGTGGTAAGTGGAGCAGAGATTTTTTTTTTTTTCCTAATTTAATCAGAAGATTATTTTATCTGAAGTAAAAACCTCTGAAAGGCAAATATGCATGAGATGCAGGAACTGCTGGGGATGGATGAGTCAGGAAAAGAAACAACCAGTCTGCAGGGGATTTTCATTCTACTCCATAGTGGCTGAATTTCAGCCTGAAAACTGAAAATGAAGAATGGCATTGGATTGATTGGCAAGGGAAGCAACAGATGTGTTAGGACAGGAGTAGCTATCTATCTATCTGAGCTGTTAGAAACCAAAGATTGTTTTTTACATACAAAGACTAGTTTTATACATTTTGGAATATTAGGACAGAAAATGTAGGTCAAGATATACAGAAAGAGGCAGAGGATAAACAGGAGAAGGGGGCATGTGAGAAGATGATATACAAAGGAAGACACTGCTTTCATATGAAAGCTATAAAACAGCAACCCAACTGGGTTAGCACTGGTAGAGATAAGGAGACAGGTGTGTTAGTTTTCTGAGGACTGATGCTGAGATCAGCAGTGGGTTGTTTCATAATCTGTTCCTCTTCTGCTTTGTTTTTTTTCCTTTTTATTTCTTCCCAGAGCATGTGTCAAATATCCCAACTGTGATAATAAAAAAAAAGGGACAGTTGGTGTTTCAGTGTGAAAGTCAATGCCATAAAGTCAAAGCTAAAGTTTTATTTCCCAGATAACTGCTAACAAAATGTAAATGCATCTACCCTGATATACAAGGCAGCTTCTTGTCTTTATTGTATTAGAACTATATTCAATAAGCTTGAATGTTTCATTGAAGCTTTTCTGCTGTCTTGTGGAGAAGCATGAGGGTCACAAGTTTTCTGTTGGTTTCTGTTCTTTTGTACTATAAATGACAGTGGCAAATTGATAGCTGTTTTTTTTCTAGGCCTACAACTTAAAATAAATAATCATACTGGGATAAGACTCTTAGTGAGATGGAAAGAAAGAAGGGATATTTTTGACAAAGAAAGCAATTAAAAAACACTTACTTGTTAAGGTGCATCAAGATCTCTGTCAACTCTACATAACTTCAGAATAAAATGATGTACCCTTTTTTTCTCCCGGCCCCCCTAAAAAAGCGGATTGTTTTCTTACCCATAAAAAGTTGCCCAACTGGTTCCCTGCTTAATTCTCAGGAATTTATATCTACTTACTGCTATAAACATGCTGAATGGAGCCTGTATCACCACAAAGCCAGAAAGATGTTAATTCCTTGAGCTATCGCATGTGAAGCGAAAATTCAAGACTTCTCTTTTTTTCACCTGACCAATCCTTCTGATATATCACTTCGAAAAAAAATAACACCTTGAGGAAATGTGTCTTTAAGCCTAAGCTCTAACCCAGAGTTACAAAACTGCAACTTTAAATAACAGTAAAACTAAAAAAACCTTTAACACTCATAAAAACCCCCACATTCATGGGTAAACTCTGCATAATTCCAGCTTTCTAGGCTTATAGACACTTTGGATTAGTTACTAAAATTCTTTCTAGTATTTTACTATTCAGTACTCTGAATTTTGACCTGAAAACACAAAATACTTTTGCAGATACAGACATGGTGACAATCCACACAAAAACCCCAAACTTGGAAAAAGTTAAGCTCTGTACATAGATTATCCAGTTAGTCTTAAAGACATAAAGCACTGTACTTCAACCTGCTCCAAGCATTGGTTCAGCAAATGCCGCATAGCTAAAATTGCCTACTTTGCCTTTGCCAATAAGACTGGGATGGCCTCCTGACTGCATAGCCAACAGCTGCTAGCATGACCAGAGGATAAAGTTACGGGACGGGTACTGTTCCTAAGCTGTAGCCTTTCCAACAAAAAAAAAAAGGGTTCACCAGAGAAGTGATCTGGAAAGCATCACTCGCCATGGCTCACAGTGGTGGGTGCGCTGTCGGGAACACAGGGTTGATGTCCCATGCATGTAGGAGCCCCCGAGGCCGCAGGCCCTGTCCTGCTGCTGGTACAGACCGTCCCACTCCCCCCTGAGCCGGACGCGACTCCCCTGGTCCCATAGCCGACCCACCGTGCTCTCACCACTAGAGACACCCAGGGTCTCGCACAGCCAGGGCTGGCCGGCAGACACCCGCGCACCCCCTTGCTCCCAGGCCACGTCACCTGCTCAGCGGCCCGTGCGGCTTGATCTTCACTGGTGCTCACGCTCTCTCTGGCACACCCGCACTCGCTTCAGTCGCTGCCCCAGGGACACAGGAGCCCTCCGCCCCGTGCTCTGACCCCAGCTGCTGCGCTCACAGCCCCCCCGCACACGCACGTGCACACAGGACAGACGGACCTCCCCCAGGACAGAGCCAGGAAGGAATTTAATAGGGAGACGGGGCAGACTGCGCTGACCAGGCGCAGGGCACGGCCAGGCAAGCACACTGACCGGCCAACCGTCGACACGCGACTGGCCCTAATTTTGATCCCCTTGCCCCTCTGTTTTTCCCTACTCCTGTTCCTCCCCAAACCACCCACACCTCTCTCTTGTCCCGCCTTTGGTTCCTCCCCTAAACATCCCCAAAGAAGTCCTGTGCCACCCGCAACCGCTTTTCCCGTGCAGCCCAGAACGTGTCCCACTGTTTGGCAGCCACTGCCTCAGTCTGAGAGATGATCCGGAGAGCTGCTCCCCGTGGCTCACGGTGGTGGGTGTGTCGCCTGGACGCTGGGGCTGAAGGCTCTGCCGGGACAGCCCCGGCAGGAGCCCGAACAAGGTGCTCGTGCCCTCTTTATGTATTAAAAGGCTGCAGTAAGGTCTCCCTGGAGCCTTGCCCTCGCCAGGCTGTACAACCGCAACTCTCTCAGGCTTTCTCCATAGGAGAGCAGTTCCAGCCCTCTGAGCGTCTTTGTGGCCCTCCGCTGGACCGGCTGGAACAGGTCCTTGTCTTTCTTGTACTGGGGACCCCAGAGCTGGATGCGGTCCTCCAGGCGGGGTCTCACCAGAACAGAGTGGAGGGGGAGAATCACCTCCCTCAACCTGCTGGCCACGCTTCTTTTGATGCGGCCCAGGACACGATTGCCTTTCTGGGTTGCGAGTGCACATTGCCAGCTCACGTCCAATTTGCCACCCACCAGTACCCCCACGTCCTTCTCCGCGGGGCTGCTCTCAATCCCTTCATCCCCCAGCCCATATTGACATGGGGGATTGGCCCTGCCCGGGTGCGGGACCTTGCACTCAGCCAACCGAACCTCGTGAGGTTCGCACGGGCCCATCCA